CCCCCCCCCCCCCCCTCCCATTTTGTTATAAATTTCTCCAAAAAATATTTTTTTTTACTGTGAAGCCAGTTTTTCCTTCACCTTTTCCCTACTTTCTATTCCATATACTTTTTGCTTATTTCAGTTTTGAAGGGCAATTCGAAAAAAAAAAGAAAAGAATGCGAAAAAAAGGCGATGGAAGATTCTTCTACATTTTGCGGGAGGGAAGAAGAAAACAATGGATGAGGTCTATTTTCGCTAAAAGTTTCGGAGAAGAGAATGTCGATATTTTCGCAAAAAGAATCCCATTTCTTTTTTGTTTATTTTATCTGAAGCATATGTCCGTGGGACTCTAGTTCTCTTTCTGTATTTTCAAGTACATATTCACATCTGAAGGGCGAATTTCGTTCGACTTTTTTGCTTAGATTCGCACACTCTTCATACGAAATGGTCTGGATAACAAAGTCGTAGGAATCATTTATGATCTTTAAATAAAGGAAAATTCACTAAAAAAGTGAATACAACTGTTTAATCTACATATACAAGATGACTTAAAAGTCTGTTACATTTGGACGTTCAATAATTCACACGGAATAATGTAGGTAGAGAGGTAAAAATTGACACACATACATGCTTGAAATGACAAGCTAAAAAAGTTCAAGAAATGGCCAACAGACAGAGCTTTATATGATAGCAAAAGCAATAATTAGCGCAATTTTTTAGCAATGTTCTTTATAACGAATTTTTAACATGTCGGCCTTCATCCATCGACAATGCCTTTAGTCGAGGGGCAATTAGCATTGCACAGCCTATCTGTAGGTAGGATGAGAAATTTCCGTCGGTTATCGTTTTTTGTATTGTCTACTGAAGTCGTACAGTGGCGGTCTCACAGCCAATAATCTTCGTATTGAGGGCTGGCAGGGCCGTTTTTAACAATCCCGGCCCCCTAGGCACTTCAAATTGTTATGCCCTTCAGGGGCACACCCCTCTTGCATTGCCAGTTTTGGTACGGAAGGAATTTTCCCTTAACCCTCTTTTTTTGCTTTGGAGTCTTTCCATCATCCAACCGGATGTTGCAAAACCCCTGCAATGCGGTAGTTGCACCACTAATATGCATTATTGTATGAACTGTTTTCCACTTGATGATTATCGCTTTACTGTCTTTTACTTTTGGATGTCCTTATTCGTTGTACTGGTACAATAAATGGGGTTACTTCCAGCTTTGATCATCGTAAAATCATTAATAATATCTTTAGAATCAGTTTCCATGGTAATATCGATTTGAATGCACATTAAAGTGTAAAGCTTTTCATTTTCCATAGTAGATGTCATTTCAGTCTTTACTCTCTAAAGGGAAGAAATGCTTCTCCAATGAGTAGCTAGGCAGCGTTACGTTTCCTGTAATTTTAATTTTTTCTCGTTTTTCGTCCTCCACATTTTTGAGCCCTAGGCACGTGCCTAGTGGACCTGAGCGGAACAGTGGCCATAGGACTGAAAACCTGGGAGGCCAAGCATGACGAAGTGGCGGCTCAGAGCGCGATCCTCTCCAAACGATGTGCGCAAGACATCTTTCCGCCTGTAGCAATATGAGAGGTGGAGCACCGTCTTGCATAAAAGGCATCCCTCCCAGCGTGTATTTATTAGCCAGACAAGGATCATGTGATTCTGTAACACATCGGCGTGTCCCTCACAGTTTACAAAGCAGAACCTTGCATTTCCTCGAAGAAAGAAAAAGTTCCACCCCGGTCTCCCGCGTGACAGGCAGGAATACTTACCACTATATTACCGAGAATTAGGAAGCCTTGCCGAAACCCGGGATCGATTCAGGAACCTTTAGATTTCAGTCTAACGCTCTTCCAATAGTTTATACAAAAATGTTTACATCTTCAGCATATATATTTTTTCATCATATGAAAGAAAAATCGGAGATGTATTATATCGTAAAATCCGGCTTATAATGCGCAATTTTAACACAGAAAGTAAGATAGAAATTTACGGTTGCGCGTTATACCCCGGGTATAAAACTAATAGCTTTAAAAATGATTAAAAAAAAAAAAAAAAGAAGCCTAAAAAAACTAGACTTCTGCAGAGATTAAAATACTGTTTGTTTATAAGAAATGACATACCAAATGAACTTAAAGAGTTATAGTTCCAGAAGTATTCTATTTTTTTTCAAAAACCTGGTATAATACTTCGAATAAATGACTTCAATACATTAGAGTATTGTCACCGAATTTTTAAATATTTATGTTTTTTTACTATAAATTTACGGTGCTCAAAGGTAAGGCTAACGACAGGCGTAAAAATTCTAGCCCTTAGTCGTGATGAATTTCGCGGGTCTCGATCTGACTTCGTCAGGCAGGTGGCATTATAGTCACAACAAAAACAACTTTAAACCTAATTCAATTTTTATGAGTTACGCTAAATATAGAACAAATAGTCGTCTCTAACCCACTTCATTAAGTACTGTTGTATGATTGTCTATTGTTTTGAGGTTATTAATATCTATAATTCCTGGCATTAATTTTTCAATAGTAGAAATAAATATTCCTATAGTGCTTGCCTCATGATATAAAAATGACAAGACTTGAATTTCTTAAAGGAAAGTATATTTATATTTTACACCCCCATAAACCCATCCCTCTGATTACATTTCCGAGAAATCTTTCTTAGAGAATTTCTACTCCACAAAAGAAACATATTTGCCACATTTCTAGTCTAATAGTTAACAAACGGGAATTTTTATCTGAAACGCGCCCCTGAAATCCACAACACTCCTTGCGAGACGATTTCCACAAAACCCACTCTTAACGGATCTCTACTCAGCAAAAGGATTGTGCCTGCCAAAAATTCAAGTTTGTTGGTTTTGTAGTTCCGGATATCTCGTGATGACTGAGTGAGTCGCTTTTCTCTTATGTATACGAAGATTAAATTAATAAAAAAACTCATTTCCACCCTTAAGGAAATTGAATAATATTTCGTTTCTGACAAAAAAAAATGTTATTGTTGCGAAATATTCCACTTTTCTTAACAGAAGCTTATGATTCTTACTAAACAAGTATCTGAAATCTAATGTGTGCAACTATCATTTATTTTAAAAAAAAATCGATAGTATCTTTTCAATATCAAGTAACGATATTTGCAATAACGATAATAGTTCCCGAAAAATAAAATAAAGTCCAAACTCCGAAATTAAGTATTTGTTAATGCTTATAATATGAATATATAGTTTCTGGATTCCCTTGATTTTTTTAAAATAATGCATGTGGTTTGCGAAGGATCGAATTTGGATTGCCAACAGCACAGAGCAAATTTGGGGTTATTTTTTGCTTAAGCTAACCGAACATAGAAATTAGCCAAATTCTTCTCATACATTAAAATATATTCCAGCTGCATTTTGTTCAAAACAAAGTGAGTAAGTGAATATTAATGTCGCACTGTTCAGCTACACGAGGGATTTTGGTGACGGACCTCGTCATTTTGAACCATGATCAAGTGACACCTGAGTTGGCACCCTCATCTCCTAACTACCACACCACACGACAGATTTAATGTACATCGCTCCCCTTCACGGCGGGTCTTTAACGGTACTGGGCTCGAAATCGTGACATGTCTGCCATGATACGATACCTTGACCACTGGGCTACCACAGCCTTGTTCAAAACGAAAGGAAATTGAAGCTGTACACATTGTAATATCTAGACAAGCCTTCTGTTCCTCGTTGTCTATTATCGATGTCTTCGGAAGGAATTGTGGATGTCTCTTTGAGGTTGGGTGAATGGCCGAAAGAGCTCAGTTGGGAGAGGCGTTAGACTCAAGATCTAAAGGTCCCTGGTTCGATCCCGGGTTTGGGCAAGGCTTCCTAATTCTCGGTAGTAGAGTGATCAGTATCCCCGCCTGTCACGTGGAAGACCTGGGTTCGATTCCCCGCTGGGGAGGAATTTCTTTTTAAATTTATTTACACGAAATATTTTAAATCTCGTTTGGAGATCACACTTAGAGGCACTTCGTATAACGACGAGAAAGAAATTTTAGGTTCGTCGGTTTAATATATATATATGTGTGGGAATCCAACCGAAATCTTCCAAAAAGATTGGATTCTTCAGATGGCGGGGTTTTTATGGCGTGGTGTCTAGGGGTTTTAGGGTGTGTTAGTTAATTTCGAAATAAAATAGACAACATAGTTCAAGAAAGAAACTAG